GAGGACAGGCAGGCTCTTGCGTTTTACAAGTTAAAGATTATATTAGAGGTGCCTTGTTGGAATCAAAGATTTGTAATTTAAAATGCAATATATCTAGTAAACAAACTTTTTTTCAATAATTTTAGTGATTGATTTTCCCTATGGTGGTTGAGTAAGAACCAATCTTTGAACCATAATTTATAATTTAGAAGAAGTATTTTTCATATAAACAAACAGGATCTAAATATTTTAAATTAATAAAAAAACATGTCATCTATTTTGTATTATAAAATTGAAAAGAAACTTTATGAGTCTAAGTAGAAAAAAAGAGAAATCTACATTATAAAAAAAATAAGTTTATATTTATTATAATAAATGAGATTTTAGGAATACTCACACTTCTCTTTAAATCTAAAATGTTTTTAAGGATAAAAGTAGAGAAAAAATTTAAATAAGTTTTTTTAATAATAGATCTATGATACTATTTGAAAAAATATATATTTGAAAATAAATATATGATAATTTGAGGGGAAAAAATTAAGTAAAAACATCTTAATAATCCAACAACAATTCAATCCTTATAAAATCAAACTTGTCATTTTAACTATGCTATCGGACATATATTAACTAATAAACTCTTTATCAACCAATAAACTTTTCAAACACAATAAAATTATAATAATAGTCGAATATATTTTAAAAAATTAATTTTAAATCTTTTTTTAGAAAGTTTAAAGGCAAGATAATAATTTAATAATAGATGGGTGAGCTTGCATTCATACTTAATATCTTTAGGCTTGACATAATGCCAAGTCCAGATGATATAGGTCTAGCTCGCTTTCAGGCGTAGCTATGAGTCGAGCCTAAATGGGCATAGATTTAATAAGCTATCATATCCAATATTCTTAGTTTTAGTTATGTGTCGACCCCAAATGGATATAGATTTCGCGAGCTGCAAGACACAACTTCCTTATGATTTAATTGCGTGTTGAACCTGAGCAAACATGGATTTAGTGAGTTGTTACACTCAACATCTTTAAGTTCAGTTATAGATTGAGTCTAAACGAACATGAAAATATAAGTTTGACAAGCTGTCAAATTTAATTTTTTTAGATTCAACTACATGTTAAACCCAAGCAGACACGAGTTTAGTAAGCTACTAGACTCATTATCAGTGCGCTTAGCATTGTGCCAAGTCCAAGTAGATGTCGATTTAATAAGCTGCCAAACCCAACATCCTTGGGCTTGGTTGCTTGCTGAGCTTTATTAGGCATGGATCTAAAGAATTATCAAAATCATCATCTCTAGATTTAGTTATGCATTGAGCCTAGTTAGACATGAATTTAATGAATTGTCAAACTCATAACTTCTCGGCTTGGCTAAGCGCCGAACCCAACCAGACATGAATTTAGCTCATTGTCATACCCATTGATCATAAGCTTAGCAGAATGCTAAAAGTATGTAGATCATTGTAAGCCTCATGTTGGGCCATAACTTATAAGGCTCTGTTTATTTATCTTTATAACTTTTAATATAAAATATTAATGTTAGAGATATCTGTCTCTTTACACTCATAGGTTTATAAAAAATCTCTCAATAGCTTACCTTATTTTCATTCAATTAATATTATGTAAAAAATATTTATCCCTCATTAATATTATATAAAAAATATTTACTTGTCTTCCTACACTCAATGCATATAAAAATTCTCCTATGACCTACCTTATTTTCATCCTATTAATATTGTAACACCCCACTCTATTAGTAAGATATTGTCCGCTTTGACCCACGGGTATAACAGATTTGTTCTTCGCAGCCACACATGGCTCCAATACATGTTTTATTAGTCAAGGTGAGCATGCTCATATAAGACCCTCCCCTAAATCCTCACTCGCTGATTTAAGATATTACAATCTACCCTCTTTAAAGAGTCCAACAACCTTATTGACATCATCAGACAGTTAGTGATTTGGGTTTTAATACCAAATGTAACACTCCACCTCACTAGCAAGAAAATGTTTGTTTTGACCCACGAGACTCAAGGATTTGTTCTTAGCAAAGCCCCTCAACTTCAGTAAAACAATTAGGTTCATGGGCTATAAATACCTTTTGAACCACCCATGTAAAGTGTTTAACAATTTTTATTCTCTAGACACTAATATTTTTTAATTTCAAAGCATTTATTATACCAAAACAAGAATTAACATTTTTGTTGTTAAAATTTAAAGCTTATTTTTTTATATTTTTCAATTTCTCTTAAAAGTTACTGACTTTATTATTTGAGAGTTTCTGAACCCTATCAAAATAGATTATTTTACAGATGTTAAACTTTAAATCACCAGTCACTCACTTTCAAAATTCTAAAAACTAAAATATTAACATGAATATAAATTATCCACTGTCCAAACAAGAAAAAACTTCACTTGTAAACATACTATATTTCACAATATTGTCACACAATAATATAAATTAGAATCATAAAAAGAAGTCACATATATTATTAATTAACCCAATCAAATAAAAATTATTAAATAAATAAAAAAGTTTAGTTGCTCCTTGTCAAAATTAAGAAGACTAATGACTAAATTTGTAATTTGAAACAATTCATTTTCCAACTATTTAAACATATCAAATGTTAATAGCATTCACACGTAGAAGTGTAAAATCATAATATCTCCAACTTTGATAGGATGTTAAGAGGAAATCACTGTAAATTCCACAAGAGATAAAAAAAAAAAAAAAACCCTCTCAAACTATCGTGAGTACAGGATTTTATTTCTAAAGTTAGTAAATTATCCAAGATGGACCGATCCATTATGGAAAAGAAAGATAATCCACTATTATTTCTTAATATAAGGGCAAGTTTAAATATATAAAGGTGTAATTGTTGTTGGCGTGTGACTCTCTGGGTTGTTGAGAGTGAAATTGACAGCAAAGTTGTAAATTGTGACAACTAATGTAACTTAAAGCCAATGGTACATCGTGAATCGCTATACCACATACTTGATTATACCTTATAAATTACCTGTGAATTTTATTTATTTTTTGCATTTTAAAAGCATGTATTATTTGGAAAAAATATCAAATTAATATTTTTTATAATTTTTAAATAGTTTTAATATTAAAAATAAATAAAAATTATTTTAATATATTTTAAAAAAATATTACACATCATAATAACAAACACATATTAAACAAATAAATAATTTTTATATGGCATTTCATTATTGTTTTGCAAGAGAAAGTTGGGCTGCAGATACAGCTAAGAGCTAGCCAGGACTAATGTAATCTTGGGACTATACTCCAAGCTTCAAATAAGCAGCTCAGCCAGGCCCAATCTAAGCCCATCAAGTAGCCCAAATAACAACAATCTAGCCACCTTGATCTAGCTCGCAAAAAAGGGGCTAAGATAGTGTTGAATCCACCTTGAAACATGTGTCACACACACTTATTGGACACTTTCCTGGCTCACAATTCACCGCACCATTCCAAAATCAATTCTTTTAATTACGGGTTGCTTGTGAAATTATTTCATTTATAGTTTGAAGATATATTTAAATAATATATTTTTAATAAATTAATTTTGATATTAGTATGTTAAAATAATTTAAATATATAAAAAATCAAAATCTAAACATTTATTCAGTATGTCTAAGAAATTATTTTTGATATTAGTTTGAGTCCCAGTGTTTGTGCTGCACATGTCTAAGAAAATCAAAATCAATTTGCTGCTCTAGGTCAAAGGTCAAGATTTACCTTTATTTTACATGCTCCAAACGAAGCACATCAATTGTGCTGAAAACAACTTCTTAAAAGTAATGGATTAATATAATAATTAGAATTAGTGGGATGGACGCATTCTTTGATTGTTTAGAAATAAATAAAATTTTATTCTTATATTTCTCTCGACCACTTATGTATTCACTTTCATTTAAAACTACAGTCTTAATATAAGAAATTTAATTAATTAACTCTCAATACTTTTACTTTCCTTCTTCAACACAATTATGTCCACTTGTACTTTTATTGAAAGAACCATGTCAATATTAGATTACTTTCTCAACAGTCAAAGCGTCCATTTATCAATTTTTTATCTTCAAAACTAGCTTTTAAATTGAGTTTTATGCCTATTCATATAATAAAAATATTATTTTTATTATTTTAATGATATTAAAAATAAAGTGTTAAAAACTAAAGGGGTATTAGAGATTTAAAGTAAGGTGATGGAGCTATTACAAAAAACCTCATCGCATCAAAAATAGTAATTAAATAGTTCATAAAGGAGATAGAATTGATAAAATTAAAATTTTGATAATAGCTTCTCTTGATTTTATATTGTCTCTTGAATTAGCTCAGATAAATTCTTTATAACTACTAGAACAAATTTACTCATGAGACCTAAATGCATTATAGATTGGTTTAACAACGTCAAATACAGACTTTAAACGTAACGTATCAGCTACTTCAATTCTAATATGTTTTTTCTGATATTTATATGTTGCTTTTTTATTTTTTATTGTTTTCTTTCTATTTTTGTCATTCTTTTTTGTCATATTCTTATTTTTGCTTGTTTCTTACTTTTTGCTACCTTCTAGTTAATCCTTTTAATATATTGATTTCTTTCACAAACAATTGGTGTAATATGAAGAGAGCTAAAAAAAGTATGGAGAAAATATGATGATTAAACTTTTAACAATGTATATTAAACTTTTATTAACGTAATTTTTTACGGGTATTTAGTATTGTGAATGATTTTGTGTTTGTAATTTTAAAAAATATATTTTTTTAAAAAAACTGTTAGTTATAATTTTTTTTTTAACTAAAATTTCAAGAACGCGCCAGTAGAATTAAGCTCTCATTAATGTAAATTCTCGGAGTGTTTGATATTGAGAAAACTTTTGTGTTTATGATTCAAAGAGATTTATATAGTTTTTTTAAGCAAGATGTCAAAACGGCACCACACGGCAGTATATAAATGATCATAACCTTTATCGAAGAACGTGAAATCGAGGACAGTTTTTTTTTGGAAGGAAATGGTGTTTCTTCCTGAAGAGTGGAGTATCATGAAACCAATTAGTCAAAGTCGTCTAAGCCAAGATCAATTATTCAGACAAGAGATGATGGAGCTTAGAAATTTCATCAAGTTGAAGTCGTCTTCTGCCCACACTCTGTCCTCCTTCCTCGAAGTCTCACCATTTTCACTTTCCATTTCCCACCCACGATTTCTTTCCCATTAATAGGAGATCAATGTTTCTTTCTTTGCTCAGCAACTCATCCACTCTCCAGTGTTCAAGGTCATGCTCCATCCCCTTACGTATATTCCTAGGTTTAATCTGTTTCTTCCTCTCTGTTTTCCTGTGTTTTTCTCTTGGAGTTTTGATAAAAGCGAGACTCCAACACACCCTGAGACCTCATCATTTTTAAGTCATGCAAGAGCAGGGCTGGAACTGCTTGTTAGATGGGGTTCCCCAAGTTTGAAAATTGTTCAATTTAGCCCATGTACTAAGGGTAATTTCAGTATATCCATGCATTTGTTTGGTCCCCAAGACTTTGTTTTTTGGTCTACTTGCTTTATTTTATTTTCAAATTCATCCCTATGTTTTCCTTTTCTTTTTCTTTTTATATGGAACCCTTCACTTACCAAATTATAGTTACATAGCTGCTGCGGAAGTGTGGTTTTAGATAATGTTGTGGGTTAATCTATTTTTTAAAGTGTTTTTTGTTTAAAAAAATATAAAATTAAAACTTTTTAGTTGTTTTTTTTTAATAGTTTTGATAAGTTAATATTAAAAATAAAAAAACCATTTTATTGCATTTCTCATTAAAAAAACACTTTTGTAAAAGCAGCCTGCTACATTGCATTAATATACATAAACTAGGCTACAAACTCTTAATTGGTTAGTGATTTGGTTGTTAATTAGGCTATATTGATAACTTTGCTATTTGGTTCTAAATTAAGAACATGGAGATCCGTTAAAGGAAATGTAGTATTAACTTCTGTCATATATTGGTTTTGTTTGGACAGAAACCCAGAGAGTATAGATTGCTAGAGACCCTCCTTTTTCCCGCACATTTTCTGAGTACAGAGATGCGGATCAGACTGGCTTAGTATCTGTTATATATTGCAAAATCTATCAGCTCCTGACGTGAAGAAGCAGCCAAGGTTTTGAGTCTAAAATACTGAAATCTCTAGGCCTTCGGAAGATGGTTGTAGTCAAAGGATCTGTTAGTATTAACAGGGGAGAATTGGAAAGAACGATGCCAATTACAGATTCTCCTTTGAAGAAAGAAACCGATGCCTTTACTGAGTCTGTTAGTATTAACAACAAAGAAATGGATAATCAGCCCCTAAACTTAGATAATCATAGCGTCGAGACGATACAGAAATTGGGAACCAGCCCCAAACACCAAGCTGCTGTAAGATTGCAGAAAGTTTACAAAAGCTACCGAACTAGGAGAATACTTGCAGATTGTGCAATTCTTGTCGAACAGAGCTGGTATGTGTCTATTGATCAGTACAAGTCCTGGTTCGTATAAATAAAATAGTAAGGATGCATAACCTTGTTCTGATGCAATTATTTGTTACTTGCTATAATCACAGGTGGGAACTCTTAGATTTTGCTGAACTCAAATGGATTTCTATTTCTTTCTTTGATATCTTGAAACATCAAGCTGCCATTTCTCGATGGTCACGAGGGAAAAGGAAAGCTGGCAGAGTTGGAAAAGGCTTGTCAAGTGATGAAAATGCACAAAAACTTGTTGATAAGCACTGGCTTGAAGCGGTTTGTCAAATTTACTCAAGTGATAATTGCTCTTCACGATTCACTCTTACTGAATACTGATTCCAAATCTGTTGTGTCCTTTGTTTAAAACAGATCGATCCACGACATCGATATGGACATAACCTACATTTCTATTATGAGAGATGGCTTGATACTAAAAGCAGACAACCCTTTTTTTACTGGCATGTTTCTTGGATCCTTACTGCTAGACTTTCAACTTTAGACATGATCATGAATTTGAAGTTGAACTTGTGTATGCATGCTTGGTTTAGAACTGCAGGCTAGATATAGGAGAAGGCAAGGAAGTAAATCTTGAAGCATGCCCTAGATCAACATTTCAAACGCAGTGCATCAAGTATCTTGGTCCTGTGAGTTTCCATGAACTACATTTCATTTTTATTTTAACCTAAATAAAATGCTTTTACTGATAAAGATTTACTATAACAGACAGAAAGGAAGGCCTATGAAGTTGTTATAGAGCAGGGCAAGCTCCTCTACAAGATGACAGGGGAGCTTATTCACACAACGGAAGATGCTAAGTCCATTTTTGTCCTTGATACATCTAAGACCTTGTATGTTGGCATGAAGAAGAAAGGCACATTTCAGCATTCTAGCTTCTTGGCTGGAGGAGTCACAACTGCTGCTGGCAGATTAATTGTTGAAACTGGCATTCTTAAAGTATAGCTTCATGATTAATGATCTTCAGATATTCACGTGGTCTGTTAATGATGGTTTCTCTTCACTTTTCAACAGGCAGTTTGGCCTCACAGCGGTCATTATTGGCCTACAGAAGAAAAATTTCAAGACTTCCTTTCATTCCTCAGAGAAAACAATGTGGATCTCACAGATGTAGAGGTATAAAAAGAAAATTGAAGTGCTCTAGAAAGGCATACATATCCTGAACCTTTCCTCTGTTTTTTTCTTTTTCTTTTTGTTATTTCAGACAAGTGCTCTGGACTAGGAAGACAGAATGCTTTGTACACGAAGAAGCCGCGATTGTCTTAGAAGTAACCCACTGGATCAGAACCACTGATTCAGTAGTTGGACCAAGATTTCCAGTAAAAGATTCAAACACAAGAGACGCCTTTTGTGGAACAAAACCGCGAGGCCACATAGTTAAAACAAACACTGTCTTGCCTTCATAGTTCGATTAGCTGAAAATTATTCACCAGGTCGAAGGTTAACATATAGACTTTTCATTTATGGGATAACTAAACGAAATTAATTTATAGCAAACTCAAACCCGTATCATTTTATTGTGCTTAGAAGCATGTCATTTAAGCTCAACTTATTTTTTAAAAAGTATTTTTTATCTAAAAGTTTTGGTTCTTTACAAGTCTATTTTTCATGACCTGTTGGTATTGTTGGTGTTTCAAATGCAGCTCCTGACTCCCCTGTTTAAATCAATCACTAGAGTTTGTTTTTCATTATGATAAAGGAAAATACTTGACTGTCAGTAATAATATATTACAAATTTCATATAAACGTCTCTAGATAATATTTGAAAATAACTTCACAAGAAAACGATACACCGTGCTCAAGTTTTTTCACCCTCCACAACATACTCTACAGCAGCACTTAAGAGCAGAAGAATTCTGCTGACTTGAAATTCCATTTCAGCCATCTATTGCAGGATCATGCATTCACCAGTGAAGACATATTTTCAACACACCTCAGCGAAAAGCATGATCGTAGTCATGGTAATGGAAGTTCTTGTAGATGAATTGATCCAGCCATTTTGAACCTACAAAGCATACTACTGCCATTGCTACCATTGTATATACATTGTGCTTGGTTGCACCAGCAATCCCAATGAAAGCTAGAGAAGCAAATTGCAGAATAACCTCTAGTGCATTGAGACCCTTGTATGCAGAATTGCAACTGGGACAGTTTACTACATGCGACCAATACCTGAAAAACCAGTTCCAAAATTTAGGAAAGAATTAAGAAAACTTCTCAAACTGAAATCTCGAATGCTCTTCTGTACTTGTAACGTGCATTAATTACCTGTCCAACAACTGTTCTCTAGGAGGAGCTGGGGGAAGAGTTCCACTGTAGTTGCCCCTCCAATCAACTTGACCACCAGCATACTTGTTTAACCATTTTCTGAAACCAACCACAAAAGCATCTGATTTTACTGGCACAAAACAAGCCTTCTGCCAGTTGGAAGAGCCAATCTCCATTATCTTGCGCTCCTGCGGAGAGAATTCTGTAGTCAGTTAATGCTAGAGAGTACAGGCTCCAATTTTTTTGCTTTGGAGGAAGAGCTACAAAAAAACAAAGACTCAAAAACTTTGGTTTGCACGGAAAGAAAAATGTTCATAAAGCTAGGATAAATGGCAACTCCTTGCAGCGTAAGAGTTTCTTTCCCATCAAATAAAATTCAAGAAGTGAAGGATGAAATAGATTTGAATGTACAATTGTTACATCGAAAGGCAAACCATGGGAATTGAGATTTCTGTTGATCCTGGATGGATACTCAATCAACCATCCAAATACAATGTCTAGTTCCAGAATGAAATAGAGAAGCAAAAGTATGTGCATAAATAGAAGAAATTGACAGCAATTGAGTTGTTAATGACACAAATAATGAAGAGATTTACATGAACCTTAGCCTACTTCACATTTTTGACCAATTGATCTATCAGTCTCACATGGTTACTGATTTTTTTATAAAGTTCAAGCTATAATATATCAGCTCCCTAAATACATAAGCAGAAAATCACCTCCAGATGAAGGAGATACAGATCTGAATCCAGAACTATGTTGGTTACCGAATGAAGAATAAATCGTGGAACAACTTTGGTAATCCAAACTCCGTAGTTTTTTGGTATGGCCCAAATCAATCTGCTATTCCCTGGACTGACCGGAACACAAAAGAAAATCAAGGCCTCTCTCCGTTGCATGGAAGGTTTCTGCACGGATAAATTTTTTATGAAGAAACATGACAAGAACAGGAGAACCACGTGAATACAGGAGTAAAATTATCAATATAAAGCCTATGATCACATAGAATTATGATTACATTACAGGCAGTGTCTTTGAATCAAAGAAATAATGGGGATCTACTTAGTAAGTTGTCAGCGATAATGCAGACAAGTCAATGTATCTTTCAATTCTTACACATGCCACGATAGCAACATGTTGCGTGTGGTTAGTGTTTCAGTCCATAAATGATATATATATTAGAGATAGAAATATGTTTGGTTGAAGAAATAGATATAAAGTAAATATGTTTTGAGATAGTTTTGGAGTGAATTTCTATACTTAAAACAGCATATCTTCATTGTCTCCATTTCTTCACTCCAGGAACAATAATCAAACGTTAAACAATGAAACCACAGGACTTCTGTCAGCATAAGAGATGCAGGGAGCTATAAATTTATTAATACCAAACTGGACTTGATTTCCAATGAAACCATCTATGTCTAGTTTCTTGATACTCAATTCAACTGGTTCGCCCCCTTCTCTATCTGCCTTCACTGCGACGCATTTTTAGTTTTAATCATATGAACTACATAAACAAAGAGAATGGAACACAACACCTCAAAATACCTTTTGGTTGTCGTGTTTTCATAATCCCATAATGTGCATAGGGAACATGAGCAGGATCCATCAGGTTTTCGATCAAGACTTCGTATCTGAATGTTGTATAGAAGAGTGAAGAAATTAAAAATCGATCATTAACTTTTATTTTACGGCTGATTCTTTCCCTATTTCTGAAACGTATATCAAATATGTTATTTGCA